GTATATAATTGCTACGCTTCGCTCCGCAATAAGAACAACATAGATTGGATGAAATAGTTTTTATACATAGATTCTGGGCTATATTATTTGAATGATAATATATTAGGTTCTGTGAGTGAGATCAAAAGAAATAACTAGACAACATACAACACAGTCTTCGAGTTAGTTAGGAAGTTCACCTCGACATGTTGAGATCGACATTTTAGAGAATTCAGGTTCTGCCTCAGGCTGCAAGGGGCGTACAGATTACGTCAGCCCCACTTGTGCACTGACCACCGGTTGGTCATATGACCGCCGAGTCGTACGTTCTGATTTCTGCCCGGATTCCCCGCCCGGACCGGAGAAACCCCGGCCGAAGTCAGCTGGAAAACTCTGGTCGAACGGGGTGGGGGAAGTGGTCGGGTCATGAATTCACTATGACGCATACATAATTGACAGTACCAGTACCAATAATACCGGCACGAGATGGCCACCACACAGAGAATACCAGGCGGTCCCTATGGCGACGTGTATGCAGGCTGTATCATACCACAATACCACACTCTGACACCTTGGAAGTCAGCCCACCATTACATCATACAGCCCCGCCATAAAGAAAGCTGAGAACGGCAAAGAAAACCCATATGAATCAGAGAGGAAAAAAAAAAAAAAGGAATTGACATCGTCGACGCTAAAGTTAGACATAATCAAGTAATGTAGACACCTCAAGACTCCACTGGGCTCGTCTGGAACCTACTAGAGTCTTAATGAAGGACGTAATGAGGTGGTTGTTGGGCCATCGAAGCTCGTGGAATCTCATGGATTCCCGTGGAAGGCTCCCTCTAGAAGCTTCTGGGGCAATACACCGCTCACTATATAGCAGCTTTTCGCAGCCTTCAACCCTCTTCTCTTCTTTCCTCTCTCACTATCAAATACCCTTCTACTCTCTGTACACTATCCTCGTCAGTGACCAGTCTCTTTCTATCCTTTTTTTCTTTTTAACGATTACACACATTCACCATGGCTCCCGCCGTCGGTATTGATCTGGGAACCACCTACTCCTGTGTGGGTGTCTTCCGTGATGACCGCATTGAAATCATCGCCAACGACCAGGGTAACCGCACCACCCCCTCGTTCGTCGGTTTCACCGACACCGAGCGTCTCATCGGTGATGCCGCCAAGAACCAAGTCGCTATGAACCCCCACAACACTGTCTTCGATGCCAAGCGTCTCATTGGTCGTCGCTTCCAGGACGCTGAGGTCCAGGCCGATATGAAGCACTGGCCTTTCAAGGTCATCGAGAAGGCTACCAAGCCCGTCATCGAGGTTGAGTTCAAGGGTGAGGTCAAGCAGTTCACTCCTGAGGAGATCTCCGCCATGATCCTCGTCAAGATGCGCGAGACCGCCGAGGCTTACCTCGGTGGCACCGTCAATAACGCTGTCATTACTGTCCCTGCCTACTTCAACGACTCTCAGCGTCAGGCTACCAAGGACGCCGGTCTCATTGCCGGTCTCAACGTCCTCCGTATCATCAACGAGCCCACTGCCGCTGCCATTGCCTACGGTCTTGACAAGAAGGTCGAGGGTGAGCGCAACGTTCTGATCTTCGATCTTGGTGGTGGTACTTTCGATGTTTCTCTCCTGACCATTGAGGAGGGTATCTTCGAGGTTAAGGCCACCGCCGGTGACACCCACTTGGGTGGTGAGGACTTCGACAACCGTCTGGTCAACCACTTCGTCAACGAGTTCAAGCGCAAGCACAAGAAGGATCTTACCACCAACGCCCGTGCTCTCCGTCGTCTCCGCACCGCTTGCGAGCGTGCCAAGCGTACCCTCTCTTCCGCTGCCCAGACCTCTATCGAGATCGACTCTCTCTTCGAGGGTGTCGACTTCTACACCTCTATCACCCGTGCCCGTTTCGAGGAGCTCTGCCAGGACCTCTTCCGTGGTACCATGGAGCCCGTCGAGCGCGTCCTCCGTGACGCCAAGATTGACAAGTCCTCCGTTCACGAGATTGTCCTTGTCGGTGGTTCCACCCGTATCCCCAAGATCCAGAAGCTCGTCTCCGACTTCTTCAACAAGGATGCCAACAAGTCCATCAACCCCGATGAGGCCGTTGCCTACGGTGCCGCCGTCCAGGCCGCTATCCTGTCCGGTGACCAGTCTTCCAAGTCTACCAACGAGATCCTGCTTCTCGATGTTGCCCCTCTTTCCCTCGGTATTGAGACCGCCGGTGGTGTCATGACTCCTTTGATTAAGCGCAACACCACTATTCCCACCAAGAAGTCCGAGACCTTCTCCACCTACTCTGATAACCAGCCCGGTGTCCTGATCCAGGTCTTCGAGGGTGAGCGTGCCCGCACCAAGGACAACAACCTCCTCGGAAAGTTCGAACTTACTGGCATTCCCCCTGCCCCCCGTGGTGTTCCCCAGGTTGAGGTCACCTTCGATGTTGATGCCAACGGTATCATGAACGTCTCCGCTCTCGAGAAGGGTACCGGAAAGTCCAACAAGATTACCATCACCAACGATAAGGGTCGTCTCTCCAAAGAAGAGATCGAGCGCATGCTTTCCGAGGCTGAGAAGTACAAGGAGGAGGATGAGCTTGAGTCTGCCCGTATCCAGGCTAAGAACGGCCTTGAGTCCTACGCCTACTCCCTCAAGAACACCCTTTCCGAGGGCAAGCTCCAGATCAACGACGATGACAAGAAGAAGGTCGAGGACAAGATCAACGAGGTCATCGGCTGGCTCGACAGCAACCAGACCGCCGAGAAGGAGGAATACGAGTCCCAGCAGAAGGAACTTGAGAGCGTTGCCAACCCCATCATCTCCGCTGCCTACGGTGGCCAGGCTCCCCCTGGCGCTGGTGCCCCCGAGGGTGCTCGCTCCGCTGACGAGGTCGAGGAGAAGCCCGAGGAGCTTGACTAAATGTTTCGCTCTGAATGACTTGCTTGTTTGCCATTTGGCACTCGCTTCCTTTTCACGTCTTGTTTTACGAACTTATGGGTTATCAAGGTTTCCTTTTGCGCATGATTGCATAGATACAAGGTTATCTCTTTCTAGGGAAAAAAATCCTAGTGAATCAATTTTCTTTTAATAAAAACACAAGTCTCTTGTACATTGTAGATCATAGTATTAACTAACTGGTCTTGTTGGACTTAGGCCCCATTCGGACCTACCTCCACACTTGCATTGAAGAGTGAAGGTATACAGGATTACATCCTCCCGGAACCTCGCGCAAGTGATGAGAGTGACCAATCCATACACGACGGCCAGTATATATACATATAGAAATACAAGATTCAACCATCAATATTAATTCTCTTTGCGAGGATCTCCCAAACCAAAACTCCAAACCGATGATGTATCAAAATCCCGTTTAAACATCCTGGAAGTCTCCGTTCCACCACCGCTGTAACCGATGCCCGCTCGTTTGTACGATGCTTCCGTAGGTGATTTCTGAAGCGCGCTCGGGGTACTGCTCGCGCTGGTCACGGCGGATGCGGGTGAGGGCAGCAGAGACACCCATAGCCAGGGCGAAGAGGGGATCCGCGATCCTATTCATATAGCGTTAGAATGATATGTCTCTCTTGTCGGAGACAGTTGGACTGTGCGGAAGTATGTGTACCTGGAGATGAGGTAGACAGGCATGATCTGCTGAGATTTGGGAAATAAGGTGGTGGTTTCGGTGATTCGAGGTGTTATGTCGTACATCTAAGAGCTAGAAGAGAATAATCACGTGATGCGGACACTGCTTGATCGGTTCATGGCCCTCCGTCTTCCACAGCAACACACATCTCCGCCATGCATTTCTCGCTCTCCTCTCTTCTCCTGCTAGGGATTAGCAGTCTGGTGTCTGCCAGCTCTTTGACAATTACCATTCCCGTCTCTAGTTCCCTCCCAAACCCGCATGTCCTCCCCGCAACCAGCCATGCCACTCTCACCACTCTCCCCTCTAGTGGGAAAGACCACATCCTGTCCGCATCGCTGACTCGCTCGGCGACGTTCGTGTTCCATGATCTTCCATCCTCCAATCCGGATGCTCAGCCCGAGTCCTACTTGCTCGATATCTGCTCCGCTGGTGGCTACGTCTTCGCCCCCTACCGCGTCGATGTTGCGGCTGATGGATCCATTCTCGGAATCTGGGAGACTTTTCGCGGGAACCCGTGGGATAACCGTGGTGCGGAGAAATATGTAGTGGGTGTTACTGGAAAGAAGCAAGTTGACGTGGTTGTCGAGGCCAAGGTCCTTGGACGGAAGGTCTTCTATGAGCAGCGTGCTCAATGTGAGCTTGCCTCCTCTTCCCCGCAGATACAACCTGTAATATTTGTCCATAGCTGTGCTAACTTTGTATCGAATCGCAGTCTCTCCCTTGAGTCTTGTCAAGAACCCAATGGTTTTGCTTGCAGTTGTCGCGCTGGGTCTCATGTTTGTCATGCCCAAGCTCATGGATAACAGTATGTCTATTCCCCATTGACCCTAATCCAATGTTGGGTGCCTAACTTTGTTGTCCAGTGGATCCTGAGATGCGCGCCGAATTTGAGCAGCACTCTCGCTCCTCGCCCATCACCGGTGCCACTACCAGTGCCATGGCTGGTGGCGGGTTTGATCTGGCCAGTTGGATGGCGGGCACTGGTGCACCTAACCCCACGGCCAGCGATGTGACTCAGGCTGGTTCAACTGGTAGAGATACGAGTGGTCCTGCCCGGAGGCGTGGATAGAAGATCATTGCTTTATTATATTGACCGTTCTTGACATGGTATCTTGTCATTGTCACGTGGCTAATAGTATGATACAAAGTTCACTGAAGGTGCTCGTGGCTCATAAAAATAGAGCCGAATACCGATAAATGACTAGAGCGATTTAGGCGAAACAAAAGCAATCCTCCCAAATCCCTCCCGATGTCAAAGCGCCTAGAGTCCCTCGAGATGTACAGAGGCCTGTCCCTTATGCCGGAGTCCATCCTAGTAACGAAAGAAGAAAAAAGCAGAGCAATCAAAGAAATCGAAACGCAGCCGAGCTTAGAAGTCGTCTCCTCCGAAGTCATCACCACCACCATAATCATCACCGCCACCGCCGCCGTAATCATCGTTATCATGATGATCCTCCAGAGCATCGGCGATCAGCATACCGCCAAGCAAACCACCACCAACACCCAGAGCAGCAGCACCGGCAGTTCCCATACCTCCTCCACCTTGCCTGCGAGGCGGTTGCTGCTGGTAATATCCACCCTGCTGTGGGTATCCTCCATATCCACCCCCGTATCCCGGTCCGGGTCCATATGCAGGTTGGCCATGCTGCGGAGGATAGCCACCGCCACCGTAGTAGGCACCAGGGGGAGGACCTTGCTGAGCGTACGAGGCGTATTGTTGCTGCGGCCGAGGTGGCCTACTGCTTGAGCTCGAGCTCTTGCCCATCAGCTTGCTCAAAAACCCACCCTTGCTGCGCTTCTGTTCCTGCTCAGGCATCGGGCTATGCGACGACGCTGGAACTGCCGCATATCCCCCTGGACCGGTGGACTGCGGTCGCGAGGTATCGTTGTAGTAGTCTGATGAGGCGCCACGATCTCCTAATCCGGCCCCGGTTCCTCGTGTGTCGGCCCGGGCGTCTTCCTCGGCTTGGAGCTTGGCGGCAAGCCGTGCGTCTTCGTCAATCGTGTTAGGGCTAGTGTTGCCTGGGCCAGTATTTGTTGAAGGGTTATAGGGGTTGTTTGATCCCATGTGTTTCTTCTGGTCCCCCGCACTGGCTATTGCTGCTGGATCGCCTGGCCCGGCGTTGCTGTATGATGGTGGGAGAGAATTGGCTTCGGGGCGGTCCCATTGCGATTTGCCCGTGGCAAGGTCTACATAGAACCTGTGTGGTTGTGAGTACTTTGCTCTTTATTAAGATGAGTAGATACATACCAAGCGTGGTATCGATCGTCATACTGCGCTGTCCATCCCTCAGGTACCGAGGGCGGGGGAGGCCCGGAAGGCGGGGCAAACGACATGATGACAGGTATTATTGACTTGAATAGGTTGCAAGGCTGAAAGCTTCAATGGTGGTAATGATCAAAATGTCAAGTTTGAAAAGGAGGATGAGAGATGAGTGAGAGAGTGAGAGAGTAAGAGAAAGAGTGAGGAGGGAGTTCTTGATTCTTCCATGGATATATACTTAGCGGGGAGTAAGCGGGTAATTGTGGCCTTAGGCATATAGACTGCGCCTCCCCTGGTGGCGGTGCCCCAATGTCATCATTCAGGCCATGACCAGTAAGTTAACTAACTAGTTAACTATAGTTATATATATAGTAACATCATTGTATATCTACAGGCTACCACATTCGAGATTGCAGCCTATCGATCATACATACACAAACATCATTGATAAACCCGTTCGCTGCAACGTGAATTTATTTAAAACAACCAAATCTGAACTCCACGCTTCAATGCTATGCAAAACACATCAACAATATCAAGAAAGCTGCCACATTAGACGATCTCCTTTTGGAAGTTAGGATCGATTTCCCCACTAGCCGGGAACCAGTTATCTTCTTCAAGAGCCTCAAGTAGTTCCTCGAGGTTGAACCGATGTCGGTTTGACGTCTCCATCTCCGTGTCTGAATCCAGGAGAGTAAGGTCGACATATTCTGTGTTGCTAATTATCCGAGACGCGAACCTGCGAGCCTTCTTTTTCGTCCGAGATTTCTTTTTCGCTTTATCTTCTCTGTTGTCTGCTCCATTTCCCTCTTGATTTCCTTCCCTTTTCACATCCATTCTCTCGGCTTTTTTCTTCCTCTTCTTCCCCGGCCGAGAAGAGCCAAGGGAAGACAAATATATAGGGCCTTGAAAGACGATCATAGAAGGCTCCTGGCGTTTTCTCTTATGGAATCCTCGATTTCGTATTTCGGCAATTTGTATTTGTCTTTCGACCTCTTGTCGCTGATTCAAATCGAGTTCGTGACGATCTTCAGGCGGTGGTCCATCCAATTGTTGGCTCTGATATCTTTTGAGCAAAGGAAGATCCCCAATTCGACCAAGAGAAACGTTTTTTTTTGCGTTCCTAGCCCACATAGCAAAAGGCCCCGTGTAAGAGGGCCCTTGACCCATCCCAAATGTTTCGTGCTTTACAACCTGGCCGGATGAGACAAGCTGATTTCCCGCAACGATACCACTAACACTATGCTCTTCGGGTTCTGGGGCATGTTCGAACTGGAAAGTTCCTATGTTAGGATCCGAATAAGGTCCCGATGAGAGCACGTGCACGCCCCCTCCAGACCCCCCGACGAGGAGTTGAGATTGATCATCGGTGAAAGATGCGCACATGATCTCCTCATCAAAAGATGCGACATCCTCGACGAGGACATCTTCTGGTGACCGGCGAATATCCCATCGTTTGAGAACACCATCGGACGCACCGGTGTAGAATTGGTCCATAGACGAACCCCACAGAGCTACCCTGACGCCCACGTCTGCCGTTTCCCGGCTTCGTTGGTGATCCATCGGGTTAAGGGGAGAGTTATGGCGAAGTTCGTGAAGAATTCTATCGCCCCTCCGATTATCCCAAACATAGGTTTTTCCATCCGTGCAACTAGCGGTGACATATGTGCTGTTTGAACCCATTGGACAGAAACTGACCTCGTTGATATCTAAGGCCGGGCAGGAGAATTCCAGCACGGACGGCACGCGCTTTTGGAGGTCACAATTGAGGCTAAACACCCTCACTATTGATTTCGTGGTAATGCCAATACCTTTCATGCGTGCGTTGTGAGGATCCTCAGGGCTGGCCGTTGCAAAAAAGGGCAACGAAGAGTGCCATTTGATGTCAAAGACATTTAGTGAGTTGGAAGCCATCTTGATGGTCTCAAACGCAGATTCGCGAGCTCGCCATAACCCTAGGTGACCTTTGTATACTGGATCCTCCCCTATTTCGGCCAGACCTCCGGCTAAGAATTCCTTAGTCGACGGAGTATGCCCCCAGGCCAGGGCCGTCGATGAGAACTCAAAGTTGGGCTTATACCGTGCATCGCGGTCGATGGGAAGGAGAGTCGATGTCATATTTTCGGGATCTCGTGTGTCCCAGACCAAAATTGATTCAGTCCCTGTAGCCAATATATCCGGATCGAATCTCGAGACGGACATCACTGCCACCCGGGAATCATGCTGCAAGGTATGAGTGCAGGATACGTTGCAGATTGATTCCACGTCCCAAATCTTGACAGTTTTGTCAAAACTAGCGGTGTAGAGTCGGTTGCCAATCCACTGCATATTATTGACACTCATAAACAGCCGTGGGTCATCAACTGTCGAAGTTGTGGGGCGTGGAATCCAATGGTCTGGAATTTCCCTTAGACGATTGCTTTGAAGATCACCTAAAAGGAGATTGTTCGTCTTGTTGTACTGCATATTATGTTCATCTGATTTAGCTGCGGCGCCTGCCGCAAACTGAGTACCATCAGGCGACCAAGCCAGAACAAGCAGATCGCCCGAAGCGCCTTGCCATGATTTCCATGGTCTCAGATCTGAGACCACATCGGCGAGAATGGGGCGATGATTTCCGCCTCCAAGCTCACGGCTATACAGCAGCTTTTGGACATTTGGACGACGGGGTAAAACGCGACGCGGCTCCTGTGGAGAAGACGCGACTGTGTCCGGAATAGCTTCGACATTAATGTCTGGCTCTTCAGATTCAACGGGAACATTGACCCAAGGATTGGCGTAATAATTAATCGGTTTGGCTCTATTTCGGCTAGAACGACGAATAAAATTTTGCTCGGAGGTTGGCGATATTGACCGGGAGTGAGGGGATCTGGAGGCAGATGACATGACACCCTGTGAGTAAGAGAAATGCTGCTTTGGCATGGGTGCAGTTATCTCATCGTTCCTACTGGCATTTGAGATTGCCACACTTTCCCTAAGAGTCCGTTGGCGCTCCCGGTGACTTGGAGAGATGCCATGTGAGGAAGGGATAGAGACAGAAACAGACTGGGGAGATGGAAGTCGGGAAGGAGCCCTGGAAGGAGCGTGGGAGGAAGCGCGGGAAGAAGCGCGGGAAGAAGCGCGCGAAGAAGTGCGAGGGGAAACCCGAATTGGACTGCCAGAGGAAGGAGCGATAGAGTGGGAAGGAGAAGGTTGAGTGGCATGGCTGCCACTTGATGAACCCATGAGTCGAGGTGATATTTGAAGAGGTGAGCCCTCACTAGGTTGGACTTCAGTCCGCGGACTCTGCCAGACATCTCTGACCTCGTCTCTCGTATTACCAGAGGTGGCCGGAGTGGACGGATTCTCCGGTAGAGAAGAGACCCTAGAATACTGCACTAGCAATCGCAGAGTCTCGCGTTGGATATCTGGATCTTCTGGGATGCTTCGGGCTGACAGACCAGGGAATGCAGGAACTATACCCTGGCCATTAAGACTGGAAAAGCCGTGAGACATTTTAGAAGCACAACTGATGTTCTAGGCTAGAAAGGGAAGAAAAGCGTCAGGTATGAATGTGAAAAGAAAGAAGAAAGCTCTCACATGAACGACTTGATTGATATGAATTTTGGCTGGCTCACGTCTGGTGTCGGACGATGGCAAAGTGAGAAAGACATAACATCGGCCCCGGCTCTCACTTTGTTCACACTAAACGCGAGGTTTCCGTTGTTGCCTTCCAACTAGCCGATTCCTCGGGTGTGTTTCTGTTCCTTCCTTTAAAAGAAAGAAGCCTATGTCTTTGGATGGCTTTGGTGGGAAATTAATGGTTCCGGTATAGCCTTGACAGCTAGCTCTATTAGAGCTTAGGCAAAACAGTCGCGCAAGATATTGGTTTCGAATAGGTGGGATAGACAATATCCGTAGCGAGCGCAGATAGTTCTAACTAGTGGTACGAGGGTCACAAAGATAATGTGATGATGCGACGATGGAGAGGCAAGCTTGGACTGTCAAAGCATTAGGAGTTTTCCACCTAAACGACCGGGAGAAGCACACCTGGGAGAGATACGTGTAGAAGCTCAAAGAAATATTGAGGCACAGAGAGGCAGAGGGGCAGATGAATCAATGCCAGAACTGAAAACCAGAGTGCACAAGATACAGGAGAAAGTGTGGAGAAATTGAGCAGAATCGCGTCGAGAACGCGATAACGCGGGTATAGGCGATGATGGGCGGTGAATCAAAGATAAGGCGGTCAGGTCCAAATGGATTCTTTAATTAAAGGAGTATAAGAGTGAATTTCAAATAAATAACTAAACTACATATTTGAGTACCTGGGTATCGCTTTAGAAGGGCTCCTTGGAGCTCCAATAACTTCAAGAACCTTCACCAAGTCATTCTTTATAGTGAGAAAGTGAAGTGAAAGCCGCCCGCTCGAATTCCTCGTACTCGAACAAGTATACATAGTGGACAGTGAGGGTCCGGACCTTGTCTCCCCATGAAGTGTGGCTGTATGAGTTGTCACATAGGTCCGGTAGGCTTGGAGCCATTTCCTGTCTATTTAGCGATGCGACCTCTTCTACGGGCAGACACCATCAGATCATACAGCACATCCTTGAATGCAAAAAGGAATGCAGCAGTGATGGCGCTCTGGGTGACCTTCGGTCCAATACCTTTGAGGATATGTTAGTGAACATCCAGTATGACTTCCAAAGAATGTTTACCCTTGTAAAGTCCCTTCCAGCCTTCTTCCTGAATGATCCTCTTCAGGCTTCCGTTCAAGCTCTCCTTGGGGCCATCCCTGCTGGCCACATGCGCTCGGCTCTTGATGGTGATGTATGGGTAGGTGAGGCTGGTGGCCAAGATTTTTCCCAGTGCGCCCAAGTAGAACGCATCCTTCGGCGTCATACGCCGGCGGCGCTCCACTATATTTTTCAGTTGCTCGAAAATAGTGTATTGCAGAATTGGGTTGATCACCAGGATCAACGCCGGGAGGACGCCTGCAAATAGAGCCTTGGGGCCCTCCTGCCGGAGCAGGTCTATGAGGGTGCTGAAGGTGGATGCCTTCGTTTTCTTGGCACCAGGCAATGTTGCCTCCGCCTCGGACTTGCGGGCAGTCATGCGAGTGTTGATGACCCAGATTGGGTTGGTAATCAGCACCGTGGCACTCCCTGCAATAGCCCCCGCAATCATAGACTCCACCGTTGTGAGCTTTTTCGAAGCTCGGCCTCCCTTGATGGCGGCCTTCTCAAAGGCCGAACGCGTGAATTCATACCAATAGTAATACACAAAATTGGTGACGCTGATTCCAAACAACGCTGATTCCAGGCCGGAATATAGTCCAGATATACCTTCCCTCTGTACGATGCGGCGTATGGCATCAAGGGTGGTTGAGTGCGCACGCTTCGACTCGACTTGGGCTCGCGTCGACAGAGTGATCAGAGGGTATCTAGAATGGATATGGGGTTAGCAGCAGCGATGGGGAAAATGCGGGAAGCATACGTCAAGACCATCGACAGAACACCCCCTCCTGCACCCGCCAGCGCGTGCGCGATGTTATCACTCTGTTGAACAGCAGCAGATGCTGCCTTGCTCTGCTCGGCTCCTGGTTGAGACATGATGGGAAGAGCTTGGCCTATTGACCTATTTTCAGGTGTAACGTAGAACCTATAAAGAGCAGAAGAAGATGGAATGTGTCAGGAGGTGAAGAACGTTTAGAACTTAAGACCACCGGGGATGGGATGGATGTTCATGACGTTTTGCCGAAGTACTGTGTGCCTCGGCTCCTCCCCAACTCCACTGCATTCCGAGACGCCCCATAGCGCAGATTCACCTTGCACAAGCTTATTTAGTTGATGGGTTTGATTTGATTTGATTTATTTATTGACGAACTCGGTACCTGCATGCTAATCAAGTGACTTGAGTGTGTCACGTTCTAACTACCGAGGTAATAAACCGGAATTGGGAATATCCCCGGACTACCTAGGTAGCTACACGGTAGTTAAGCGGATCAGACCGCTCGGGAGCATGCTCGGTTTTACTCAGTGAGCAATAAAACGGTAAGGGAACGCCAAGAAGTGGCAGAGGAAATCAAGTACGTAGGTAGCTATACGTACTTGATTTCCTCTGCCGGGTGGGGTTTTCCTATCTTAGCTGCCGCCGCTTTTATGAGGGCGCTCAGAGCCAGGCTCACTGAGTAGATTTCAGTCCGCGCTCCGACTCAGTGAGCTGCTCAGATATATTCACGTGACTCAACAGTGAGATCCAATGAACGCTCACTGAGCACTCAGTGAGTCTGATTGGATGCTCGCTGATTACTCAGAGACCGCTCAGAGTCCTCTAATGAGCACTTAGTCTAATTCAGAGTATACCCAAACGACCTGGCCCAGGAGACCGATTTAGTCATTCTGTTGAAAGTAACGATGCTTTTCTACTGCCCAAAAGGCTTCGATGGTCGCTGTACTCGAGACTACTACCTAGCCCGCAAAAGCTGCGGGCTCGAATACAGTGACCAAAACCCGCCCTTTTTGCGGGGCGTAGGCATGAGCGGCCTGAGTAAGCACCATCAATAAAATGCAACACGCTAATTACGTCACGTGTATGTTTTTGCTTATCGGGAGTATACTATTAGGTCACCTGACAGGTTCTGGTATAATACATGTAATCCAGCAAAATTTCGCTGGTAACCTTTCATAACCGTAATTCCGTCCACCACAACAACTCTTTCCATTTCTGTTCTTCCAAGGTTTTTTTTTTTCCTTGACAACCTCACCTTTCTGTTACTTGACAATGGAAGCTCGAAGTTCAAAGAGAAAGCGGGAGTTTTCCCCTGGTACAGTTGCGTCTAGTATCAGTCTTCCTATTGCTGTACCACCACTGCCGCTAGCCGAGACCGAACCAGGCGTCCCACATTCCAAAACCCCACCGTCATTGACCAGTGATAACGACTCCACCTCGAAGAGCTCTTGCCGTTCGCCACCAACTCCATCTCAAACTCGAAGTGACCAAAATACCTTCACAATGAGAGACGAGAGAGATATACTAGATCTGTACGCAACCGACTACCAACCTGTTTGGGCTGCAGGAATTGAATTCCCCGGTGTCATTCCAGAAGAGATATCACAGTATCTATATGAGGATGGCGAGCAGGTCTCCTTGTTCATCGGACCGTTGTCAAGCCTTTTTTGGCTTGAGGGGGTGGAAGAGCTCGAAGAGCTCATTCGCGATCCCGCATATGTTCTTACAGATGAGTACCGTTCGATCCCACAGGGTTCTCCGCGTCTTTGGATTGTTTCAATTTTGTTTGAAGAAGGGAAGATACCAGCAACATTCATGGACAAGATCTATGAAGAACCTGTCCGACGCCAGGCTTCCGCGCTTTCTTATGCCAGCTTTATTCCCCCAAATCTCACAACAACTCCTACTCAAAACAGGATTCAAGATGTCTTCCCCTTTGCGCGCCTCCAATCTTTTCCGCCAACTATTTCTTGCATTAAGACAAAACTGAAGGGAAAGAAGAACAACCGTGATGAAAATTACGTTGATTTGATGAATACATTCATCAATTCACTTGGCGGCAATCTTCTTTACAAGGGCTTATCACGTCCGTCAATAGTCAGCCTAGCCTCACTCTTCGCGCCCCTCGTCTCTTCATACACGCTTCAGAACGAGTTCGGACCCGGTTTATACGCTACTTCCTCACTCAAGTATGCGTTGGACTATGCTGGCCCAGATGGGGTCATTTTGATTTTCAAGGATGTTGACTTCCGTCCGTTGGTTAAGATTGATTTGGCCGGCGAAGACTGGCGAACTACGGTGGACTATTGGACCGGGGCGACGATTTCAAATGTTTCTGAGCGTGTACCAGCACTCTGGGAGCGATCCGATATCTTGCAAGGCCAAATCTCCGTCAAAGATCTGAGGTCCAAACAGAGGGTTCCCGGACCAGATTCCCAGGTTGTGGGAGTCAGCTATGCAGGCTTGAATGCATTTGCATCTGCTTTGCACATGATCATTTGGCTAGACAGTTCGCGCTGAGAGAAGTTCGTTGCTTTATGTCATCTTGTTTTCAATTGTCTAGCTAGATCCGGGCTCTTATTCTTATCCAAGGAGCGGATCGTCTCTGTCGACCCGGCGTGGTTGTGGCTTTTGCTTTTGATATTATTTCCTCTATTGCTGTTGCGTGAAAGCCTATAGCTGGTGGAAAGATAATGATATTATAATGTCTAGTCTAATGATAATATACGGCTCAGGTCATATGACCAGCCATAGCCTGATAGGTGCCCCCTCCTGAAGGTGGCTGCCGTCCTCGGTAGTAAGTAATGGTATACAAATCGTAAAATTATGATAGGAAACGGACGAAGGTTTAGTCTGTCGCACAACCCGGGGTTGGGTCGAGATATCGGACCCGGACCCGGACCCAACACTGGGGCCCCAATGGTATTTGATAGTTTGGGTTTGCGGTGGCACGAAAAGGTCTAGAGCTCCTAGGAAGTCCTCTCGGACTTCAGCTAGGATAAGTTATT